GCAGAATAAAGAATGGGCATATTTTAGGAGACGAACCAAGATGTGAGAAAGTTATATTTTCTGACGCGCAACTCATTTTCTGTCACGTTACAGATAAGTTTTTGCTAAAGCTATGACTGTTCCTTATTAGGGTAAGCCAACTTTGGGTGTTACCATAGCAACCTGGGTTAAGGTCAAGAACGTCACAGGTTCGAATATAAACGAGGTATTTGTGACAGAGGCTCCTGGAGTAACAGACCCCACCAAACAAGGACAGTATCACTTTGAAATCGTGGACAAGGGCAGAGTGCGCTTCTTCCAGCGAAACAAGGACAAGACAGTGTATGGACGAACAACCATTGAGGGAATCCCGGAAAATAAATGGGTTCATCTGGCGGGAAATTACAATCCCAACACAAAACAAGCCACGATCTATATCAACGGGCGCCCCGTCAAGGCTTACGACCAGACGGAACCTCAACAGACAGAGTCTCTGAGCACAGATTGGAGCAAGGCCGCTTATATTGGAGCCTTTAAGGACGATCAAGGGCCTCCACGCCAGTTCAAGGGAGCTCTAGATGAGTTCTATATTTTCCCCTGTGCTCTTTCAGATGATCAGATTGTGACCCTTAAGGATACACACAGGATGCGTAAGTTTGTAAATTTCAGTTTCCCTCAGTTACTTTTGAGAATTTTGTGAGATTCCGACGTAGGAAGGTTCCGGCGTAGGAACCGATTTGAAGATGACTGAAGGCTTCTCGATTGCGTCCGAGCATGATCTACGCGCCCGTAATGAATTAGATTATTTACGAAGCGTAATAGGCGAAGAATTTTCAAATGAAATACGTCTTTAATTTTAAGTAGTACATTTCACGGACTGTTATATTATTATGTTAGTTACTAGTCGAACAAAAAAAAAACGTACGTTCGACTCAGTTTCTTTATCCCCAGACGAAACGAGAAATTCTCTGCGTAATGTAGCAACTACCAATTAGAGACGCCTTTGGGATCTTTATAGGGGCAGGGCATCATCTTTCTCCAGGCAGAAGTGAGGCTCTTGCAGCGAGCCTGCTGTCTCATTCGTCATCTCTAGTACATTACAGTTGAAATGATATTTTTGCCTCATAACAGCCAAGTTTGTAGGTCCATACCCAGGCGTCAAGCGCGACGTGTGGCGCGGCATCAAAGGAACCACAATAACAGACCTGGCCACTCATAAGAACTACCCAGACCACCCCACTGAAACGTCCATCATTGCCGACTTCGACGCGCCCAAAAACGAAGGCGACGATTATGGATCCCGACTTCAGGGCTACTTTGTGGCACCATACACGGGAACTTATTCGTTTTCGTTGTCTGGCAATGATGAAGCAGAGCTGTTCTTTAGTGGATCGTCACGAGAGAAAGACAAGGATTTGTTTGCTGTTGTCAAGGGAACTGGACACAACGAGTTTGCACAGTAAGTTTTGCGCTGAACTTGTCACAGTTTGTGTCTTTATATGTTGCGTTGTAGTTTGTTTCTTGATCTTCTTTAGTAAACCCGCTCAATCTTTCCCACATCTTTGTCTGTTTTCGCTTTGTTATCACCTCGTATGCATTTCTCTATCTTAGTAAATAAATTATCATGTTTTGATGTTCCCTCTCAATTGAAGAAAGTTATGTACATTTAAACAGTGACGGAAGAGATTTCAGGGGTTAGAACCCACGTAAAGCCAAATGATCTCCTCATTTTTGATCATTATGGTCTTGTACTGCTTGGCCGGTAGGTGAATTATGCGCAGTGATGTGAAATGGCAGTCAGCATGCGACGCTCCAAGGGTCTTTGGCATGGTGCTTTTAATTCCTTGGTCAGGAAAAACGTTCTGGAAAAACCTACACAAGCAATTGCATGTATCCTCTTTAGAAAACTGATAGACTTTACTTAAGTTTTTTAAAAAAGCTCTTTCCGTAATGCTGACTCAAAACAACGTGTATGGAGGTTTTTTTGTTCACAGTTTCACGTTCTATTTTCTTTTGTTCCGTTATAGAATTCCGTTCCAGCAGTCTGGTTACATTCCGTTGGAGGCTGGTAAATATTACTGGATTGAGGCCCTGCACAAGGAAGGGGCCAGAAGGGACTCTCTTTCTGTTGGGTACACCTTGGAGTGCCCTAATGCACCTTCGGTCCTTTCCGAAAAACCCATCCTCAAACCAAGTCTACAGCACAAGATTCCAAGTAAGTGCTGATGCTCATCTGTGATAAATGTCCTCAGCTTAGCTGAGGGGCCGAGCAGAGCCGTAGAGAAGGAAAGTGAGGCACTTGACTCAGTCGTTGTTTTCCGTTTTTGTTGTTTACAGTCATTTGAAACACCCTAAATACCTAGGAAGGTAATTTAACCGTGGACGTTGCCTTAGTCGGAATTTTTTCATGGACATTGCCTTAGTAATAATTTTTTTCTGGCTGCGGCTCAGACGAGCCAGAATAATTTTACGTCAACTATGTAGGTGACATTTCTAATACACTCGTAGGTGTTTTTTATTCAGTTAAGTTCAACTTTAGCGTAGTTTTCATTTTCCATAGCAGGCTTCAAAGCTATCATCGTTACCTTATTAGTGCGAAATTCCAGCGGAATGTTCTGTTACGTTCACAACCAAGATTGATGTCTGATCAAATTTAACCCAAACATTGATTTTCACTGTGCGTGACTATCGTGAAAACGGCTGTAACTAGGTTATCTGTTTGATCAGTCTTCTGGTTTAGTTCATTGGAAACGTCCGATAGAAACGTAGAGTTTATCTGATATTTTTCTTGATGCCTTAACTAACCCCAGAACGATGTATCTTTTCCTGTACTCAGGGAGCTGTTCCGAAGTGAAGAAAATGTGGCCCGGGTTCAAAGATGACGAATTCGTCATACAGATGACTCCTTCATGTAATCCTGTCCGTTTGTATTGCCATGGACTCAACACAGCAACCCCCCGTGAGTACATTACTCTGCCAGCTGGTCCCGATAGGAACTACGCCAGTTTCCACAGGGGTAGGCTGCTCAACTTCGAAAGCTGTTCGGGTCCAGTCAACCCTGAACCTAAACTAACAGCAAATTACTGGGGCACAACGAGGTACGTTTTGTTATACAAGAGATATTTTTCTCGTCGACATTTTTAGATTTCAAAGTCGGGTCGAAAAGAGCAGCACCGAAAATATAGA